GAGAAGTCTAGTATGCGGGGATGCGAAGTCAAACATGTAGTTGACAGACTTGTGCAAGTACATGACTTGTACGGAACGACGCACCATCAGGTTGATCGTTCACAAAGAGCGAGTTGGAGGTCGGCCCGATGTAGATGCGCGCGGACAGGAACAGAGACCAGCCTGCGGTATGGTTCTCATAAGCAAGTAGAGACTTTATCATGCGCACGGCGTCCTGGCAAGTTGTTCAGGTCCATCTCCGCAAACGCAGCGAGCGTTCTTGCTACTGACGAAAACTGAGAGCCAAGATGATCGGATCGGTCGGGGTGCAGCAGCCTCATAATCACCTGTAAAGAAAGCAGCGAACCACCAGACATAGATAACTGTCGATAGACTCCTTACATTTTCAGTCGGTAGTTGTCATGTAGAAAAAGAGGCCTTCTTCTCAACCCGAATACAAGCTTCCTGCAAGACAGCTTGATTGTGCGTCCCGCGTGATTTGCCATCCTCGGCTGGAATCTGTCTGTCCTCTGAGCTATGGATTATAATGACCTCTGACACCTTGGAACTCATGCATCAATGCTCATCGATCTCCGCTGATGTTCTGTGTGCCATGGAGTAACGTATCAGTGTTAAGAGTTACGCCCGTTGACTTTGTATAGGCCTGGGGCTTATACCATATCTCAATGAATGCAGCCCAGTTGGATCAACGACGTTGATTCAATACGTATCATTTTAGCTTAATTCAATAGCTGCCGTGAGGCACGTCCGGCCGTGTGAGGGCTGCCACCAAGCCCCTTTTGGGCCGACCGTAATAACTATTTGTAGTATATAATGCTTTTGAGGATACTGCACATCGGCCAAAGCCCCTCTTTCGAGTGCGAAATGATACCGGACCTGAAGAGGGCGGCCCGTCCCTTATGGCTCTGGAAACAGCTCGGTCAAAGAGTGGTCATCTAGCACCTCATGACCAGAGGCATTTCCAAAGATGAAGTTGTGGGCACATGCAGCTTGTTAACCTGGATTTGAGGCCTGCAATGATGGGAATCTGCGATTACCATTCGACAAAGATGGGCTGTTGCGGGTTGAATGCATGTGAGAACCGCAGCGCCCTCTGATGTTGGTATCTTTTGATCTTCAACTAGTGCCTGAGTGGCCGGGGAATTGGCCCTCCCAGTATCCGATCAGCTCGAAACAGTCAAGCGTCTATGCGTCATCTGCAGACATACAATATCTCGATGCAGTCATCCACATGCATGCCGTCATGCTGTGCGTTCTCTGGCTGACGATGCCCTCGGCGAATACCCTCTGCTCCTCTGCTCGTCGGGAGTCTACTTTCATCGGGCGGGGAATATGTTGCGATGCAGTAAGGGGCGATATATGAGGGGCTCGGCTGTCTCTCCCAAGCAGCGAGACTTCGCTTTGCACTTTTACCACTTCGCATTATCATCATCCTAGACAGGCCATTTCATAATCGTAGATATCAAATCTATACCCCTCTATTCACTCCATCATTTCCCTCTCAGTTACTCCTCCACTCTCATCATGTCCGCTCGCGCACGTTCGGCCGCCATGCCACCCAAAACCAGCTCCACGCAGGCCGGAGTCAAACGCTCAAAGCCGTCACACATCACGGCCGCTCAAACGCCCGCACCAGCCGCGACGGCGCAATCAACCGGTCCACCACTGCCTGAGCCTGTGTTCTTCTTCAAGCCTGACGATCCAGAGGCCGGATTCCTTTCTCAATGGTGCCCCAGTCCCTTCTCGAACCCGTCAGACCCCTCCGTTGTCTTCCCGTCAGCCGAGCATTACATGATGTACCACAAGGCCCTCCTCTTTGACACATCCGCTGCCACCAGTATTCTGGAGGCGACGAACGCGAGCGAGGTCCGCGCCCTGGGCCACCGGGTAGCTGACTTCGACGAGGCGGTCTGGAATGAGAACAAGATGCGCATCGTCACGGAGGGGAACCGGCTCAAGTTCTCGCAAGGCTCCGAGTCAGTCGAGTCAGAACAGCTTCGTGAGCGGCTACTCGCAACGGCTGGCAGGGATCTCGTCGAGGCGAGTCCGACGGACCGCATCTGGGGCATTGGCCTCAGTGCAGAAAAGGCCGCGTCGTCCGACCGCAAGAATTGGGGGAAGAACCTTCTAAGGGACTGCGCTGATGGCTGTCAGGAAGGAGCTGCTTGCCGAAGAGGACAAGTTAAGAGAGGAGGCGGAGCGTAGATAAGCGGTCAGAGAGTTTGAACATCTTTCGAGAACGTAAACAGTTCTTTGTCTTCTTGGATCAGGTTTCGTA